GAAAATGCTTGAGGACTTCTGGTTAGAGTGGTGATGTAGGTAAACACAGCTCACTTCCTCATACAGCCACATCAAAACTACAATTAAGCTATAGAACATCCAAAATTCAAAACCATCAGATATCAAGCTGAAAAGGAAGTCTTACAACTATGGAATTAAAAAAGAAGCCACATAGAGATGAGTAGGAGAGGCGGAGACACAGAAATCATTGGTCCCATACCCACATGTGGCAGATAAAAATTGGGAGGGATGTCTCAGGAGTGAGGAATTCCAGCCCCACACAAGTCCCTCAGCCTAGGGTTCCAGTGACAGGAAGATAAGTCTTCATAACTTCTGGTTGTAAAAACCAGCAAGGATTGAGACTGTAGAAGACAGAAACTTCTAAAGTCCCACGTAGTTACTCTTAAAGGGCCCATGCACAGACTTACTTGTACTCACTCCCTCTGAAATTCAGCATGGGGGAAGCGTATTGAAAGTCATCAGAGACATATGGGGAGAAACTGAATTGTCCAGCATCAAGGTGAAAGCTGGAGAGTGGGATGGCAGCTTTCTCCCAGAAAAAAGTGCCGACAGAGGCCATTGTTCCTTTTCTGAGCCCTCCCCACCACAGAGTCACAGAGCCCACAGGTGGGCACCATATCTTGAGACTCTAACAACCTGGATCACACTGTTTGCCCCACATTCTGGCCCTGCTCCACCCAACTTTCAAGCCTACCCAAGCTGTTTCCAGTGGCTTTCTAAATGAATGGCTTGTCTTGGCCTGTGCTTCAGATTTTCCTAAATTCTCTAAAACAAGCAGCATCTGGCTTCAGAGACCCCATATCTCTTGCTAAGTTGTCCCAGGCCCAGCACTAGCAGTTGCCAGCCTTTGTTCACAGCTTGGACTCAACTGGGTACCTCTAAGCCCAGCACAAGTAGCAACCATCTGCATATAACTTATGCTGGGTTGCCTGGGAAAGAACGCAGGTGGTGGCTGACATTTGGCATGACAACAGTAATCAAGGCTCAACTACAAGAGGCAGGTATACAGAGCCCACACAGTGGGCACACCTCGAGTACCTAGGTTGGGTGATAAGGTAGGCTGTGTCACTGGATTCTATAGAACACCTACTACATTAGGCCATTCTACCAAGCCTGGAAGACATAGCAGCTCTACCTAATAGACAGAAGTGAACACAGGAAGCCTGCCAAAATGAGAAGACAAACATGGCCCAAATAAAAGGACAGAACACACTTCCAGAAAAAAAAAAAAAACCTAAACAAAATGGAGACAAGCAATCTACTAGATGCAGAATTCAAAAACTGGCTATAAGGATGCTCAATGAACTTAGTAAGAACCTCAACAGCATAAAAAAATCCAGTCAGAAATGAAGGATACACTACTTAAAGAAACAATTTACATGAATCAACAGTAGAGTGAAAGAAGCTTAGAATCAATTCAATGATTTGGAACATAAGGAAGCAAAAAACAGGCAATCAGAACAACAAGAAAAAAAGAATAAAAAAATTAGGATAGGGTACAAAGCTTCTGTGACAACTACAAGCATAGCAATATTCATATCGTGGGAGTGCTGGAAGGAGAAGGGAGACAGCAAGAAACTAAAAACCTATTTGAAAAAATGGCAGAAAACTTTCCTAATTTGGTGAAGGGAATAGACATACAAGTCAGGAAGAACAGAGGCCCAAACAAGATGAATCCTCAAGAGGCCACACCAAGACACAACATAATTAAATGATGAAGGTTAAAGACAAAGAGAGAACTTTAAAAGCAGTAAGAGAAAAGCAGATAGTTACCTACAAAGGAGCTACCATAAGACTGTCAGCTGATTTCTCAAAAGAAACTTTGCAGGCAAAAGGGATTGGCAAGAAATATACAAAGTGATGAAAAGCAAGGACCTACAACCAAGATTACTCTACCCAGCAAAGCTATCATTTAGAATTGAAAGACAGATAAAGAGCACCCCACATGATAAAAAGCTAAAGGAGTTCATCACCACCAAACCAGCACTATATGAAATGTTAAAGAGTCTTCTTTAAGAAGAAGGTAAAAAATATGAACAATAAAATGGCAGTTAATATATATCTATCAACAATTAAATCTAAAAACAATAAACAAACAAGCAGACCAGAAACAGAATTATAGATTCAGAGAATGTTTTGATGGTTGTCAGATGGGAAGAGGGTCAGGGAGATGAATAAAAAATGTGAAGGGATTAAGAAGTACAAATTGATACTTACAGAATAGTCCTGAGGATGTAAAGTATAGCATAAGGAATAGAGTAGCCAAAGAACATACATGCATGACCCATGGACCTGGACAATGATATGGGGATTGCTTGAGAGAGAGTGGTGGGCGGGGGGGCAGTGCTGAGTGGAGAGGAACAAAGAGGGAAAAATTGGGACAACTATAATAGCAGAAACAATAAAATATAATTTAAAAAGAAATACTCAATGTTTAACTTATTTTGGAGATTAGAAGACAAACTATTGTTTAATGAAACCCACATGCAAGTTACCAGGAAAATCCTGTCAACTCTACCTTCACAACATATCCAGAATCAGAACATTTCTCATCACTTCCAAGCTCATAATACCATCATCTGGATATCACCATAGCTCCTTACCTGGACTCTCAGTTGTACCCTTGACTCTTTTCATGAAATTCACAACACAACAGTCACATAGTCACAGTTAATATATATGTTAGATCATTCACTCCTCTGCTCCCACCCCTCCAAAGCCTTCTCCTTAACTTGGAGTAAAACCAAATCCTTAGTAACAGTCTACAAAGCTGTAAAGAATTGGTGATCCAAGTTTCCCCTCTGTGACTCACTTACTCTTCTCTCTAGTTCACTTCTCTATAAAATCTCTGGCATCTCTGGCAAAGAGATGAGCCTTATAAGCTATAGATGTGGGAACTTCTGGCAAGATGGAGGCATAGGTGGATACACCGTACCTCCATGAACAACCAAGATTAGAACAACAATTTAGAGCCAGAATAACACCCAGAACTGATAGAGAATTTATCTGAATGGAAGTCAGGCAGCCAAGAATTTGAAGTAGACTCGTTCATCCAGACCAGTAGGAGGGGCTGAAAGGAGGAGCAAGCGTGGGTCGGGACGCGCGGAGATTGGGGAGAACTGGGCACATAAGGCAACTGGGAGCCTGTAAGCCTTCTGGGACACAGTGGTGGACCCTGAGTACGCAAGCGGTGGCTGGCGGACCCAGTGAGGCGGCATTGTGGACCAGGGCAGAGCACACAACCCAGGATCCCAGAGAAGGGACTGAGATCCCAGGAGAATGGAGCTACCACCATTATTCCCGCCTGCGCCTGCCCCCGCCCCCACATACAATGTCACAATCTAGAGACTGGAGTGCCCAGCCCAGGTGAACACCTAAGGCTCCACCCCTCACATAACAAGAGTGACCAGACCAGGAAAAAAAAAAAAAAAGGAGAGAGAGAGACATGTCTCCAATAGAAGAACAGATCAGTCCTCCAGGACTCATCCTTTTGAGCGACCAAGAAATAGCCAATCTATCAGATGCACAGTTCAAAACACTGGTGATCAGGAAGCTCACAGAATTGGTTGATTTTCGGTGCAAATTACATGAAAAAATGCAGGTTACCATAAAAGAGATGAAGGAAGATGCACCGAGAACCAATAGTGAAGGGAAGGAAACTGGGACTCAAAACAATAGAGTAGACCAGAAGGAAGAAAAAAACAACCAAGCAGGAAAGAATGAAGAAATAAGAATTCAAAAAACGAGAAGAAGCTTAGGAACCTCCAGGACATCTTTAAACATTCCAACATCCGAATTATAGGGTTACCAGAAGGAGAAGAGGAAAAGCAACAGATTGAACACATATTTAAACAAATAATAAAGGAGAACTTCCCCATTCTGGCAAAGGAAACAAACTTCCAAGAAATCCAGGAAGCTCAGAGAGCCCCAAAGAAGTTGGACCCAAGAAGAAACACCAAGGCACATCATAATGACATTAGCCAAGGTAAAAATGAAGGAGAGGATCCTAGAAGCAGCAAGAGATACGGGGACAGTAACCTACAAAGGAGTTCCCATCAGACTGTCAGCTGATTTCTCAAAAGAGACCTTGCAGGCAAGAAGGGGCTGGAAAGAAATATTCCAAGTCATGAAAGACAAAGCCCTAAATCCCAGATTGCGCTATCCAGCAAAGTTCTCATTTAGAATGGAAGGGCAGATAAAATGCTTCTCAGATAAGGTCAAGTTAAAGGAGTTCATCATCACCAAGCCCTTATTTTATGAAATGTTAAAGGGACTTATCTAGGAAAAGAAGATAAAGAAAACACTTGTATAGTAAAAGGACAACAAACTCACAATTATTAACAACCACAACTAAAGCAAAACCAAAAGAAACTAAGCAAACAGCTAGAACAGGAACAGAACCACAGAAATGGAGATCACATGGAGGGTTAGCAACAGGGGAGTGGGAGGAGGAGAGAGGGGGAAAAGGTACAGAGAATAAGTAGCATAGAATGTAGGTTGAAATAGATAGGGGGAGGGCAAGAATAGTATGGGAAATGTAGAAGCTAAAGAAATTATAAGTATAACACATGGACATGACTAAAGGGGGGGATATGGGTGGGAGAGGGTGTACAGGGTGGAGGGGAGTGAAGGGGGGAAAATGGGACAACTGTAATAGCATAATCAATAAAATATATTTAAAAAAACTATAGATGTGCTTTCACCCCCCAGGCCTTTGCACTTGCTGTGCCTTCTATCTGGAAAACTATTCTTCCTGGAGCCCCTCATGACTTGCTCCCTCACCTCCATCAGACTTGTTCTCAGTTATTACTTTCCCAATAAAGTCTTTCTTGACACGTAATTCTTTTGTGTTTGTTTGTTTATTAATGTAAGACCATCATAACAGGTGGTTGCAGTTTGTTGACACAAAAAAATCAAGTAGTAAGCCTTTATTACAATTTAAAAATGAGATTCTAAAATCTCAACCTGACCAGATATGAAAGTATTTTAAAACCTTTAAAGATGTATTGAGAAAAATCTGGCTTAAAAAACATATTTGTCATTACCAAAAAGAGATATCTTTAAGTAAAAATAATAAAAACCCATGCTGTATAGATAATGCAGATAGTTCCAGTTATCTGGTCAACAACCAAAAAGCAAGCACTTAAGATTTTCAGGGCCAAACTTTTGCTCATTTCTGATTACTGGAATTTTGAATTAATTTCCTCTTTTGTGTAACTTAACTGGATGATAGTAGACATGATAAATCAGCATTTACTCAGCCCACCCTTCTCAGCCTCTGGAGTCAACAAATTAGCTGGTGGGTCAGTTGCTTTGGGCTCTTTCCCATCTTGTGGTTTAGGGTTTATTGAGCATCTACATCAGTAATTAAAGCTACAGTGATGTCGACGTTGAGGTGGCGGCTGACCTTGAATCTCATCTCTTGATTTTCCTTATCCTCTTCATTGCTGTCCTCTGTAGGCTGTCTTTTGGGAGGAGGGCCCCTGTGGAATCGTGGTCTATAGCTCCGATACGTGTTCTGTCTCACTGGTCAACCTTGTTCTCCTGCACCCCAGTTGTCAGCACCCTCCATCACTTCTCCCTGTGTAGGAGAGTCGTAATACAGTGCAGGGAGGGTCAATGTCCACAGGGTCTCTGCATGTAGCAAGGTGGGAACTGTGGCCTGTAGTAGGATGGGTTCTGCTAGGCCTGGCCTTTGGGAGCATTCTCTGATCCCTCATTCTTTTCCCCATTCTCACTATTCTGGTAATGGCTTAGAGGACCCCTTTGATAACCTATTCTTCATGGCCTATTAAAAACTAACCCCAACTTACTTCACTGTTATATTTCCCTCCATAGCACTTATCACCATGTGATATTGTATGAACATTTACTCAATTATTATATGTCACCTCCCACAATGTAAGTTCTATGAGAGCAGGACCTTGTTTGTCTGCTTGTTTACACCTTAAGCCTGTGTTTTCTGAAGGAGACTGCCTGCCATACTATAGACCAGGGGTGTCAAACTCATTTTCACCGGGGGCCACATCAGCCTTGAGGTTGCCTTCAAAGAGCCAAATGTAATTTCAAGTCCTTAACAGTTAAGAAGTAGTTACATTTATACAGTCCTAAAATTATTTCAGGCCTTTGAAGGCAACCACGAAGCTGATATGGCCCCTGGTAAAAATGAGTTTGACACTCCTGTTATAGATGCTCAATAAGTATTTGATGAGTGGATGCTTAAATGCATGTGTGAGTGAATGGAGAAACATACCCTGTTCTCTGTGGGACTGACTCAGCAACTCACATGGTTGATTATGCCCCAACTAACATGGGAGTACAAGGCAGTACTGTGGGAGAGAGGCACAGGGATGAGCTACCCAGACCCTCCTCTCCAGGAAGATGTGGTGTCCAGTGAGGGGAGTGTGGCCTGTGCCCACAGCCCTCTCCCATCAGGTTATACCCATGCTGGGGTGACCTTCATCTGGTGACTTGGGCAATGTGGGTGTTAAAGCCCAGCACAGGACAGCCGTGACAGGTACTGCTGTTGGAATCCCAGAACCCCCTGCTGGATTGGCTGAAGTTTGTGGGGTCTTCACAGCTATCAAACTTTTCACTCTGCCTTTTCTCCCTTCTTTTCATAGGTGCAGATCCCTAATAAATAGCTTGTACCCCAATGTCAGACAAATACTAATCAGAATACCAAATAAAAGCAGAACAAGAAAATAATGTCCATCAATAATGAAATCTTAGTAAACAAGTTATGGTGTATATTATGAAATGAAATGAAGATGAGACAGGGATAAAGGGTATTATATGAACTGATGCCAAGAAATGGTCCTGGTACATTGTTAATTGAATTAAAAAGCAGGTAGCACAACACAATCCCATTTACATAGAAAATGTAATCTAAAATTGATCTGCTTCCTTCTCTACCTTTAAGACACTAAAGTTCCTTTGTGTTGGCAAGATAGTGTGTATGAGAGATCTACAGAGTTTCCAGGATGCAAGTGAGTCCCTTTCATGAAGACAGCGCACATGCAGAGAGCCCAGACCAGGGTGTCAGGTGGAACCAGGCATGAAGTCTGGCTCTTTTCCTCACCAGATGAGAGATCTAGAGCAGGTCATGCAATGGCTCTGAGTCTCAGTCCGTCATCGAAAATGTCTCCTGTGGTTCTTGTGAGAAGTGAATGGTTAATGTACAGCAAGTGCCTGGCAAAATCCTGATCACAGATGTGATGTCCAATAAAAGTTTGTTCCTGTTCCCAGCTCCTCCTGTCCCCATCTGGCTAGGAATCCTCATCTCCCTCACCCTATCCTTTCTTCTAGGTATTGAGGTGAGCTAGACCAGAGCTAGGGAAAGTTGGTGCCTGAGGCCCCAGAGGACACTCAGTTGCCAGGGGACTCAGGTTATGATCAAGCAAGAGCAGAGAAAAAGGCTCCCCTGGACCTGGGTGTGCAGTGGTGGAGACACCATTAATTCTGGGAAATTCTGATGCAGGAAGTGAAAGGGGGTTTGGGACAGAGAAGAAAGAACAGATTGTATCTGGAGACCATTTTGGTAAAACTACCCTCTTGCAAATGATAACAATGAGGAAGTAAGGGGAGGTCAAAAGAAGCATTAAAGGACCAGACACACCCTAAAGGAGGAGAGCAAAGCTGGCCCCATATATAACATCTTCACACACACAGTCTCTGCCTGTGTTCCAGTTATTATTTACTGCTCGATATCGAGGACACAGGAGATCCTAGATTATAGACTCCTGAGCTTTCAAACACAGAGACCAGCAGGACTCCAGGCACTCACGTGACTCCTCCCTCAGTTTCCTCTACTCCACTCTCCAGGATTTCATTTTATACAACTTACTCATTGCTGCCCAACAAAACCAAGCATCACAGCCTCCAGACTTTGCACAGGTAATGGGCTGGGGATACAGGTGAGACCAAAGGGACAGGGAGGGAGTCAGAGGAAGCAGGAAGAGGGGGCTGTGGGTCTTAAGTGGGACAAATAGGAAAAGATATATAAAGGCAGCTGGGAGATTTAATGACCAAATGGAATTTCAATTCACTTAATTGGTTGTGGATTGAAGTATGGCAGCCAAACCTTAGTCACAAACTGAGGTTCACACTCAGCCCCATTCCCAGCCCTATCTTCCCTCTGCCTAGCCACACCTGTAGCTCTAACATTAAACCAGGTTTGTCCGTTAACCCCCAACGAGAGCTTCAACCCTAGAGTCAACTTGAAACTTAACACCAGCCCCAACCCCAAGGTGACCGTCAAGTCTCTCCTATTTCTAACTTCAGGGCCAAGCTTAGGGCATATTCTATCCATAGCATCAACATGAATATTGACCTGGTCATAGGAGGAAATGCAACCTTCACTGAAGCCCCAATGTTAGACCCATCCTAGTAATACATTTAGCTCCAACTTCCCTCCACTTTCAATCCAACACTCAATCATACTCCAGCCCAAACACCAGTCCTCACCCTACTTCTGACCTCAGTTGAAAACCCAGGCCCAATTCCATTCCTAGTCCTACTCCCTGGCTAATCCTCAAACTGAACTTCTTCTTTTACCTCAACTCCAGCACTGACCTCAGCTCCCATCTTGTCCCAATCTTCAAAGTCTCCCACTGCTCAGCTCCAGCCTGGTCTCTGGCCCTGCTTCCATTTCAGCTTTGACAGTCTTGCAGGGGGTCCAACCATGTCAATGAAGTATGAAGACCTCCAGTCCTTGGAGAGTGAGAAGAATACCCAGAGGATTATAAATGGTAAGAAGGAGAAAGGTGTCTCCCAAAATACCCTCATAATATGATTAGAAGGACCCATTGTCATAGCACATCTGCACAGCATGTGCACTGCTGGGGTTCCACTCAGAGGGCTCAGGATTCCCATAAGAAGAAGATACAAGATCCTCAAAAAGACAGGACCAGGGAGGATCATAGTAGTCCTGGTGGCCCATTCTCTGGTTCAGGGCTGATCATTTGCACTTGGGAAGTGAATAGTTGTGTTTGGAAAGGAAACATTTGCTAACTGACAATACAGATAAGCATTAGCCTGCTGAGGGCGTGGCTGGCCCAACTCTCTGTGTCTGCCTGCCCCCCACCAGCCCTGATAATAAGACTTTACATATCACCATCAGGTGCCATGAGGTGGGTGAGGGCCCATGTGACTGAGGACTGTGCTGGTCCATGAGTGGTCAGAGGCCTGGGCATCCCCTGCACCACAGCCTCCCCCAGCTTTCCCTGCACCCTTCCTCCCTGACAGGTCCCTGTGGCCTCTCCTCCTCCCCTGTCTCTCTCCAGTTCTGGTTCTCCTTGTCCTGAGTTCCTCTCCTCTTGCAGGGCTGCCTGTGCCCCAGGTCTTCCTACAGCATCTCTGCTCTGGACCCCACCTCTTCCTGCTCTTCCTGGGCCTCAGCCTCCTCCTGTTGGTCGACATCTGTGTAATTGGACCCAAAAGTGAGGGTCTCAGGGGGGGCACTAATGGGGGCAATAGTGGGTGGGGTTCAGTGATGTGAGCACTGATGATGATCATGGTGGATAAAGATGGCTACTGGATCAGTTCCTTGTTCCTGTGTAATGTAGTCAAACTACCTAACCTCTCTCAGCCTTACTTTCCTCATCAGCAAGCTTGGACAACAGTGCCTGTCCCTTTGGGATGAGTGGCAGTGAGGACCCAATGAGACAATGCATGTCAAGTGCCCCACTTGGTGCCAGCACAGGAAGCACCTGATGACCCTTATCACTCAGTGTGCTGTGTGTCTGATCAGGTTCCAAGATTCAGAGGGACCTGGAGACTGAGAGCAACTTACAGCAACTTCACCTCAAACACTGAGGCAGAGATCCAGGCACTGCATGCCCAGGGTGAGCCTGGCTGGAAGGGGCTCTGGATTGGGATGAGGGGATGAGGGGGTGGGAGGTGAATACTGAGCACTGAGTCCCCATGTCCTCCAAATGGCTGTTTGCAAGAAATGATAACATCTCTGAAAGCGGTGGTAGAAAACCAGGGGCAGCAGCTGCAAGCAGGTGAGAGATCCACCAGTAGTGTGTGTGCAAGGGCAGGGTGGGGCTCTCAGGACACAGGTGGGGTGGGAGCAGCCTGGGGTGCTGAGTGCCCTCCCCTCCAGCCCGCAGCTTGAATGACAAGGTGTTGTTTCTGGAGAGCAAGCTGGAGAAAGAGCAGCAGGAACTCAAAGCAGGTCAGGCCCCTTCTCCCCTCCACTGGACCTGATGTGGTGGGAGGACAGCTAGGATGCAGGGCTGAGCCCCCTGGAGTGTCCCACTGTCCTCCTGTGTGTCCCAGGCTATTCTGACATGATCATGCAAGTCCACGTGCTGGGTGAAAAACTGAACTCTGAATATCCAGATGGCTGTGCTCAAGAGCAGTGGTGAGTGGAGTGCAGGGAGTAACTAGCCCCATCTCCTGCCTTTGTTTCACTGGGCAGCATCTCAGACCCTCCCCACACCCACCCTTCAGGCTCCCAGAAGTCCTGCTGCCCCATTAACTGGCTGGAGCATGAAGGCAGCTGCTACTGGTTCTCCAGTACTGGGAAGCCCTAGCCTGAAGCTGAGAATCACTGCCAGATGGAGAATACACACCTTGTGGTGGTCAGCTCCTTGGAGAAGCAGGTGAAGCTTGAGAGAGCTTGTTCGGGAGGCTGGTTGTTATACAGAAAGAAGAGCCACCACCCTCCTCTTTTCTGTCTAGAAATTTCTCGAGCAACACACATCCTCTGTGGACACCTGGATTGGCCTCACTGACCAAGATGGTTCCTGGACGTGGATGGATGGGACAAACTACGAGAAGGGTTTCCAGTGAGTATGTGTGCTCCATCCTCTGTGTCTCTACCCAGGTCCTGCTGTCTCTGCTCAGCAGGTTCAGGGGCAAAATGGGCTCCTTGGATTGGCTGGGGGTCTGGCATCCTGGGCTCACATCTGTTTGGTGTCCTTAGGTTCTGGAGTCCACAACAGCCAGACAATTGGAATGGACATGATCTCGGGGGAGGCGAAGACTGTGTCCACTTCATGGATTCTGGCCAATGGAACGATAATGTGTGCACGAGGCCCTTCCACTGGGTCTGTGAGAAAAAGCTGGGCAGGGCCAGCTAGAAGCCTCCTCTCCCCTAATTTACAATATTTCCTGAATGCTTTCACCTGCTAAGGAAAGCTAGATTGGCAATTCTTCTTTCTGGGTGTCCTGCATCTTCTCATGGATTTTCATTCAGGATTTTAAGGGACAGCGAGAGGATGGTGTCTGAGGAATGTAGAATGATGTCTGATGGGGTGGGTAGATTGAAACAATGCTACTTTCTGCAGTCTGGAGGTTATGAGTGTCCATTTTATTTTTAGAGTAAAAAGAAGAGAAATATATGAAACATTCTGAGTTGTCTGGTTTATTGAGGGTTAAGAAGAGGAGTGTGCTTGTTGGCACTGTGAAGTAGTGGGTGTGCATTGGGGCATCGGGAGAACTGCATGGGCTTTGGGCCATATGGCAGATTTGTTATTTACAAGGGTGTGATTTCAGTCAAGTTGCTCTGTCTCAGCTGGAAAACAGTGTTGTTACTGGGACCATCCTCCTTCCAGCAACAGCCCAGGGTGAGAACCACCCCTCTGTGCTGAGTGCTTCCAAAGCTTCAGATGAAACTCCTTGGTGTCTGTTGCATGCATTACAGTGAATAGAAGCAGCATCCACAGGCATCAAATACAATGAATCAAAGCTGAGCCTCAAGCAAGAGTCACCAAACACACGAGGAAGAGCAGTTCATGGAAGAGAAAACCCCAGGTAAATAGAATCTGCAACCCAGGATAGGAGTTAGCAGCACAAACAGATCAAGACTTACAGACATTTATGGGTTTATATATATTTTTAAAAAAGACAATTAGCCACCAATAAGTCTCCAACTAGTTCTAAAAAGGAGGAATGCTCTGACCGCAATGAAACACAGTTAGACATGAACACAAAAGTAAAACCAAAAAGGATCTACAACAGCTACTTTCCTCACCATCTTTCTCGATCACATTAAGAGAAAAGGAAAGTCAGCGCAATCAATTAGACACGAAGGAGGAGAGCACCGCACAGTGAGGTCGTGGGATGGTCTGGAGCGGCTCCCGGGAGGAGATGTGCAAGCCGCTCCGGCATTTTTAAAAACAAAACAGCAGAATTGAGATAAGCTAAGTTTTAACTCAGGAAACTTGAAAAGGAATAACAAAATAAATCCCCACAATAGAAGGAAGGATATTTTTATAAAGCAGAAATTAATATAAATATAAAAATCTAAATATGACCAATAAAAGAAAAGTATATTTTTTGAAAAGGTGAATGTAATGAACAAATATGAAGGAGAGAAAGGAAACACAGACACTGGACATCAGAAAGGAGCAGGTTAGAGAAGCACAGGACCGAGGGTGCAGTCATGTCCCGCTTTCGGATCTGAAGCAGCAGGGTAAAGACAGTGTTTCCCACCATTGATGTACTTTTAGGTTAATCCCCTAGAAACAGAACTTTTACCTTCCAAACTAATTAAGGGAGAGAAGTGAAAAAGAGTTAATTTAAAGGGAGGCAGGAGAAGATAGAAAAAGAAATAAAACTGGTAGATATGGAAAGGCACAATGTAAACGGTTTGTGCTGAGTCTAAATATGTTGCTGATTATATTAAATGCAAAAGACTAAATTATCTTGTCAAGTGATAAGAACTTCCAGTCAGAATAAGAAGTAAAGTTTAGTCTATGCCCAAGAGACACATCTAAAACAGAGTTTAAAAGCAAAAACAAGAAAAGAATATGTTAGGCAAATTCCAGCCAAAATGATTATCATATGAAGTACAGTTTATAACAAAAAGTGTTATCAAAGATAAAGAATGTCACTTCCTAATGACAAAAGGCCTAACTCAACAGGAAGATACACAAGTATAAAATATATGTGCATGGAATAACATGGCCCAAAATATATGAAACAAAAATGTTGGAAATACAAAAACAAATAGTTCTATAATTATAGTAGGAGATTATAATACATCTCTCTACTAATTGATAGATTGAGCTGACAAAACAATCACCAAGGAAACAGATGTTTTGAACTCCAGGCTGTACTATTATGATCCAATGGACATATTTAATACACTGCACCCATTACTACGAAGTGTACATTCTTTTCAAGTACACTGGGACTTTTTTTTACAAACTGAACAAATACTGAGGCCCCAGGAGAAGCTCAGATGTCAGGGACTTGGGTGATAACTGAGCAAGAGCAGAGAAAAAGGCTTCTCTGGACTTACCTGGGTGTGCAATGATGGAGACAGGAACAATTCTGGGAAATTCTGATGCAGGAAGTGAAAGGGGGTGTGGGGCAGAGGAGAGACAACAGACTGCACCTCCGGACCTTCTGGGAAAACTCTCCTCTACCAAATGGTAACAATGCGGAAGTAAGGGGAGGCCAAAAGCAGCAGCAAGGACAGGGACACACCCTGGAGGAGAGGCAAGTTTGACCACATAACCACTGCCACCTACATAGTTCTCTGCTTGTGTCCAACCCCATTAATTCTCCTTTTATTTCATTTCTCTAAAAAGATTTGTTTTTAGAGAGAGGGGAAGGGAGGGAGAAAGAGTGGGAGAGAAACATTGCTGTGCGGGACAAACATCAATTGGTTGCCTCGTGCATCTGCCCCAACCAGGACCAAATCCACAACCCAGGCATGTGCCCTGATTGGGTACAGAATCAGTGATCGTGGGGCAACGCCCAACCCACTGAGCCACACTGGTCAGGCCTAATTCTCCTTTTAATTTACTGTGTGAATTCTGGGAACAGGATATCTAGGTTAGAGAATTCTGGGTCTCAGAAACTCAGGCATGAAGGACTCTGGTCATTTTTACTGACTCTCCCCCACCTTCTTTTCTTCTACTGCAGGAAATGGATAGAGGATACAGGTGGGAAAGCAAGGAGGTCAGAGAAAGCAGGTGGGTCAGGAGGCAGGACTTTGAGTTTGAGGTGGCATCTAAAGTGTGAGAGATATTGGGGTAGAGATCAAGAACTGAATTACTACAAGGACTATCTCTTCACATACCTCTAGATGAGGTTGGACAGCCCCAACTCCAGGAATGAAATTAGCGCCAAATTCTGCATTAGCTTCAGCCTCAAACTTTTATCTCAGTCCCTATCTTAGCCACCACCCTACTCGCAACTTAAACTCCAGACCTCAGCTTCAGATTAAGTCCCCTGATCAGTCCAACCACAGCCCCCAACTTAGCCCAACTCAGCAGTGTGTACCTTGGCAACTCTTTCAGCTCTCTGAGAATCACAGGTTGTTGGGACATTTCAGTAAGATCTGAGGGGAGTCATTCCAGCTGCAGAAATTAGCTCAGAGCTCATCAAGGGGCCAACAGGGCTCATTCATCGATGTATCTGTAGCCAGGGCACTGCCTGGCTCAGCCAACTAACAGCCAAGTGCACAAGGCCCACAAGTCCTCAGAAGGTCTCAGTTCTGCCACGGGTACCAGATCTGAATGAAAGGAGATTGCTGTCAAATTTTCTCTGCCATCGCCTCCAATAATCTGTGGTTGGTGTTGGGTGAGGATTTGTAAAGAGAAGGAATAATCCTGCATGAGGAAACTTTCTTAACCTGGAGACCTGAGATGCTATGGTTGCCAAGTGCTGTCAGTTCTTAAAGCTGAGCAGTGTGCAACAGGAACACAGCCTGGAGCCCACAGTCAGGAAGACCTGGGCTGCAGTGCAGTGTGACCTCTGGTGGTTACTTGGCCTCCCTGAACCTTGGTTTGCCTCACTCAGAAATGGAGTAACACTGGAATACACACATTTTCTTTTACCTCTGATCTGATCTTTTTCTTCATCTCCTTTCTCTCCTTTAAAATCTGCTCATCCTTCAAATATCAACTTAAAGATCATTACTTCAGGGTAGGCTGCCCTGTCCCCTATAGAATAAGAAATCCCCTCCCTCACCAGTTACAAATCTCTCTGTAACTCTGGATTTCCCTGTTTGGGCAGTCAGCTCTTTGCAATTACCAGTTAAAACGTGTCATGCCTCATGGACAAAGCCCCAGGAGGGAGGGACCATACCTGCCCCTTCACTGAGGTAGTCTCAGCTCCTGGAGTGGAGTGGAGGGTGGAGGAAGGAGGTTCCCCAAGGAGCAGAGATGATATTTCACAGTCACAGGGATCAGACACATAAAGTTAAATTTTACTCAGTTCTCTATAACTGACCCTGGCAATGCTCTGGAGCTCACTATGATTCTATCACACGATGTATGAATTTTACACTTCATGGGTTGGCATTTGGGAAATACTGGCTCACTGTCTTATGCCAATCATTTCAACCGTTGACTTATGAATAACAGTAATTAATCTGACTATATTTCTTTTAAGTGGAGATAGCATTCTGTGAAATAAAAATTCAGCTTACAAGGCTTCTGGTCAAGACAGCAACGTAGGCAGTCATGGCTTGCCTCTTTGCAAAACCACATCAAAATTACAACATAATTCTAAAAATATAGAACAACCATCACTCAGGAATGTCAGAAATCAAGTTGGATGGAAGTCTGACTACTAGGGAATTGAAGAAACCACATCCATCCAGACCGGTAGGAGGGGCATGGATGCAAAACAGGCTGGTCCCACACCCACGTGGATAAAAATTCAGGAGTGATATCTCAGGAGCGAGGAGTCCCAGACCCACACCAGGCTCCCCAGCTCAGGATTCCAGTGCCAGGAAGATAAGTCCCCACAACTTCTTGCTCCAAAAACCAGCAGGGATTGAGTTGGCAGAGGAGGATTTTGGACCTAAGCAGTTCCTCTTGGGGAACCCACACACGGGCTCACCTACTCAGACTCGTTCCCTCTGAGTTCCAGCACTAGGGTGGCAGCTTGAAGGGCACCAGGGGTATACAGGGAGAAACTGAAGTGTCTGGCATTGAGGTGAGCAGAGGCCATTGTCCCTTCGCTGTGTGAGCCCTCCAACCACAGAGCCAGTAGGATGGTGCCATGTCTGAGACTCCATTAACCTGGCTAACACTGGGTGACCCACCTTGGAGATCCTCAGAGGCTCTACCGGACCCAACTCAGAGGCCTATGCAAGCTCTATTTCCATAAGAATTGCTGATCTTGTCTCCTGAATCCTAGGAGACAAGCAAGAGCTGGCTTCAGTGAGCCTTAGCTGTAGCCAGATTAGAGTCACAGCTTGACTTTGCCTGGGAATCTCCAAGCCCAGCACAAGTAGTAGCCATCTCAGATTTCTCTGTAGCTCAGGGAGGGTGCCCTGGGCAAAACAGAGGTGGAGGATGACCTTGGCCTGCACCACCTGGGAAATCCCAGGGCCTGAGCACCCAGTGGGCAGTTACAGACCATATCAGAGCACCACCACCCTGCCCCTGCACAGCTGATCTTCCACAGAGGGCCAAGGTTAGTGGTCAGTGGTCACAGTCAGTACTTGAAGCTGACTGGCTTGGGTAAATCCATCTTTACAAATCTTTACCCTGGGTAATTTCATTTTTACAAATTAAAACTCGTGTATAAATGACAAATTACAATGACATTATATGTTAAGTTTGCAGAAATAAGCAAATACTTCTTTCATAAAGTCTTTTTTATGGCCTTTCCTGATGAGGAAATTCAAAAGATTCTGTTTTCAGTTTATTATCAGACAGTCACAAAATCACATTGAAATCCTAAAGTATTAGTAACAAAGGCAAGGCATAAACATCTTAAAAGTCTGATTCTAGGTTAGAAAATACACTCTTTGTGAGCATTGTTTTCATAATTTTTCAGTTGCTTGCAGTGTTAAAGCATTAACTGGGAATGTTTTGGGCTTTGGGCTGTAGTAGAATATAATAGTATCACAGTATCTGAGAACAAGGACAATGGACTTTTATGCCTCTGCACTCAAAATGTTTATTTTATCCTTAGTGTTACCCCCTGTAACTAATGACATCAAGGAAGGGAACGTTGACTTATGACCATAGATATATTTTGTTGCATATGATAAGTGAATTATTATTTAAAAAGCTAATGTAGCAGCTTTTTTCCCTAAATTTGCTCTGTGGAGTGAAATGGTGTCTAACCCTCCTGACATAATCTATATGGATATGCACATTAGTATTCCTTGTACTCTACAGTTTCATGGGGTGTGTTTTGTTTAGCATGTTTCTTCTAATGGTCTTCTGCAATGTCCTATGGAAACAAGGCTCCCTCCAGATATGAGTAACTCTAAGATAAAGTTGTCCTTAACAAGAACATTCTAGTTGAAACCGGTATAATTTTTCCTGTGTGCACATTGCATGAAAGAATACAATGACTACCGTCACAGTTTAGCACCACTGTCTGGATTTGTGCTAACATGTGAGCTATTTGAGACAGCATTCCTTTTGCACCATCTGTGTCCATTTTAACACAGTGAAAAAGCAAAGAACATGTTTGTGTCATGATGAAAATTGCTTTCTTAGAAAGGTCTCAGGAAGTTCAGTATTCCATGAGCTACATATTGAGAACCCTTGGTGCAGTATAATTCTTTTATATTGTTATCTTGTATCCAGACACATTAACAAATTCTCATTACGGTAATACCCTCTTATCCACTTTCACTTTCTGTATGTTTAAAATCCACCTGCATTTTATTTAAACTCTTCACATATGGTGTTCATTTTTTCCCCATAGTTCATGCCAGATTTAATAGATTCTTCACTGATTCTTTAAACTGAGAAAGGGTATTTTCCTTGTTCCCTCATTCTTAAGACTAACAGACTTTTTGTAACCCTCAACTTCTTTCATATCTAGCATATCTTCTTAATTTACTTCCAGGTTTTGCTCTGCAGCTTTAATTTGGAGCAGTGTTTCCAGGATATTTTGTTTTGAGGGGCTATTTTTCGATATCTAATCTTCAATGTCTGCTTCAGTCTTATTTTTCTCCCATTCTTCAGTTTTCCAAGACTTTGTATAAAATTGTTTGGAGAGACATTGCATAATCATAGTTCTGTCTCCTTAAAGGGCAAGTACCTGTTATAATGGTAAGCACATCTGTGGTCTTACAGTATCACTTTCCTAGAAGTTTAGTAAGTTTCTTCTTTGCATGATCATCTAAATTCAAACTGGAAAGTTTTACCCTTTAGGTGACTACTTGTGCCCTGGGGCTTTGAATAGATGCCTGATGAGAAACATAATCAGCTATGTTGACTTTAATTAGAAAATGCTTCTTGAACAACAATAAAATAAATAAATAAATTCTTAAAAAGCACTAAAAAGAATTTTAAAAAGAAAGAAAATGTTTCTTGCATTTTTCATTACTGTCGGGTGCAGATGGCCCCTCAGTGCAGAAATCTTTGAGAGCTTCACAGTGCTTTCTGATTGGGGCTCTTTAAAAGTTCTAGATTTCAATTCTGGTCAAGAGGGAGACACAGG